TGAATTAATGAACGGACAGACAAAATAGGAACTTAAGAGTATCCACCCTCTCAAGCCAATGATCAAAATAACCATTTGAGTTCTGGCTCTTGACCAAATAAAAAATAACAGTAATGACAAAAGAAAAACGCCTACCATTTATGGGTTTTATATAGTATGTATCAGACATGGTGACAGTGCTTTCCATGTATCGTCTTATTTATGCTTCTCAGTAGCCCAGCATAACTAATCCCTTGTACACAAAGCGAGGACACACTGGACCCTGGATTCACACCCACGACTGGCTCCTAGGTTCAAGACCTGGCACCTCTCTGGCTCGGAAGCAGAGGATGAGGGGACCCTAGAAAAGGCGAGCTTTGGGGCTGAAGTGGCAGGTGGAGGAGCAAGGGAGGTTCTCCTCTGTCCTCATGCACACCTGCCTCCACCTCTCGTCGGGCCTGCTGGAGCTGTACTCCAGCATGTTCCTTCCCTCCTGCCATCCTCTCAGTTCTGACAAACACCAACTCTTTCCAGCAATGACACTAACGGTACTTTTTTTTTAATCCTCACCCGAGGACACTTTTCCATTTTTTGTTCAGATAGAGTGGGAAAGAGAGAGAGAAACATTGATGTGAAAGGGACACATCGAGTGGCTGCCACCTGCACGATCCAACCAGGGCCGGGGACAAACTGCAACCGAGGTACGTGCCCTTAGCGGGAACCGAACCCGGGTCTCTCTGGACCGCAGGCCGACGCTCTAATCGCTGAGCCAACCGGCCAGGGCTGGTACTTTTACAGGCACTGCAGTATTTAACTCTCCCAACAGAGAGCCCATAGCTCAGAGAAGTAGTGGAGTCACCAAGGTCCTCCAACCAGTTCGTGACTGAATCGGAACTTGAACCTGCATTTTCTCATTCCTGTCGGTACACATTCTTTGGGATGGTACACCTGGCAACGGCTCTGCCCTGATGTGGATGATACAGCATCTGTCTCAGTCCCCTCAGAGAACTGTTCTGTGAGCAAACTCCCTGCTTCTCTGGCTTTTCTCAGCTCAAAAGGCTATCCCCACCTGGGTCACAGCAGGTCACATACTGCAACGATAGGGGTGACGGGCTTTCAGAGTGATTTACTGAGCACCTACCACAGTGCCTGCTGCACAGACCTAATAAATGTGTTCTAAATAAATAAACAGCCTGACCAGTGTGGCTCAGTGGCTGAGCATCAATCCATGCATCAAGAGGTCGCCGGTTCTCTCTCTCTCTCTCCCTCCTTAGCCTTGCTCTCTCTCTAAAATCAATAAAAAAAAAAAAAAGAATTAAAAAAAAAGAATGCACAAACGAATGAATGAATCAGGAGATACACTGAGTCTGCTAACAAGAGAGCGTGCAGTTACACACCCTCCGAGTACCTGGTGGGACCGTGTGTGCTGCCTCCTGAATCTCAGAGTGACAGGCATCTACATGAGCGCCCTTCACAGCAACAACCACAGCAAGGTGGACAGAGAAACCAAGCCAGCGATTCAGATGGCAAAAAAGATCCTGTGCTGAACCACCAGTGGTTCTGACTCATGCCCACGAGAACATCGTCGATTTACAGACGGTCACTGAGACAGGCGAGGTTGACAAGTGGAATTACTCAGAAAAAACTTCTCTTGCCTACGTCAACCCCAAATTCAAGCTTGTAGCTTCTTAGCTAATAAAACCATTTATAAAATAAGTTGAGTCAAATTTCGTTTGTCTAATTCGTCCTTAGGGAGTGACTCACTCCAGATCACCAAGATTCCCACACTGTTACTCTTTTTAAATATCAAAACTTTATCTGGTGAAAGTAGATTCGTGGTTGTGTAGGGCTGGGGAGGGTTGGGGGGATGGGAAGGTGAGGATTAAAGTGTGTGGGGTTTCTTTTGGGGTAATAAATGTGCTCACACTGATTACAGTGATGGATGTACAACTCAGAATATACTGAAGGCCACTAAATTGTACACTTTAAATGGGTGAAATTGTGCCCTGGCTGGTTGGGCTCAGTAGTTACGGTATCGGCCCACAGGCGGACCAATGAGTTGCAGGTTCAATTCCGGTCAAAGGAACTTTGTCGGCAGTTTGTCCCCAGCCCTGGTCGGGGTCAAGCAGGAGGCAGCCAGTCGATGTCTCTCTCTCACATGGATGTTTCTCTCTCTCTCCCTTCCACTCCATCTGAAGATAAATAGAAAAATACCCTTGGGTGAGGATTAAAAATAAATAAATGGGTGAACTGTATAGTATGTAAATTATATCTCAATAAATCTGTAAAAAAAACACCTCATTTGAATTAGAACAAATAGAAATCCTCCTCATGTATTGCACTAATGCATTAATATATTACCCGCTAATTTTGTCTATTGAATTAATTGGGGTGACACTGGTTAATAAAATTATATAAGTTTTAAGTGTACAATTCTTTTTTTTTTTTTTTAATCCTCACCCAAGGACATTTTTTTGTTTTTTGTTCAGATAGAGTGGGAAGGAGAGAGAGGAAGAGAGAGGGAGAGAGAGAAACATCGATGTGAAAGAGACACATCGAGTGGCTGCCACCCGCACGACCCATCCAGGGCCGGGGACAAACTGCAACCGAGGTACGTGCCCTTAGCGGGAACCGAACCCGGGTCTCTCTGGACCGCAGGCCGACGCTCTAACTGCTGAGCCAAACCGGCCAGGGCTTAAGTATACAACTCTATAATACATCTTCTGTCTGCTGCATCGTGCGCTTTACAACCCAGAGTCAAGCCTCCTTCTGTCACCATTTACCCGCCTTGGCCCCCTTCTACCTCCCCTAACCTTTGGTAATGGTTTAAGATCACTGCTGTGAGCACAGCTTTTAGAATCTGGTATAACACAGCAATGTTCTCAGTATTGTAATATATAGGTCTGTTTGCCCTACACTACACAGTCCCATATTTTTCCCGCTTACTTTATTTTCTTCTAACAATGCCCTTTAGTTTTAATTTAAAGTTTGGTGGTAAGCTCACGTGCTTGGGTCATACATCACTTACTGAAGTCAGTATGATCACGCACTGGCTGTGTGATCTCTGGAGAAGTACTAGATCTTTCTCCATGTGTAAAATAACAGAACCAACCTCACCAGAGGACTGTGAGGTTACATAAGACAATGTGCATAAAGCATTTACGGCTGTTCTTGGCAGTGGTAAGCCAGACTGAACTTTAGCTATCACCGCTGTTCTTGATGCTGTCAGTGTAGCTGTCTGGACCCCAAACCCAAAACCCACATAGTATACTCAGCACACCTGGTGTGCTCAGTGAAATAGAACAGGGTTGGGGACACAATGTCATGACTGAACTTTGGGACATCCATGGGATGGCTCTGAGCTTCAGTAATATTAGGCAGTTTGTCCTAGTTCACCCCTGAACAGAAAAACCTAAAGGCCTGGTTAGGTCTCCCATGATCCTGGTATATGATAGGCTGGTGCCCAAGGATACACAGTAGTCCACACACTTTATGCTCTCTCTAGACCAATGGTTCCTAAAATTCAGAGGTCACAGACACAATAAGAACAATAAGTACATACAAAATTGTATCCATGGTTACAGGGGGCTCCTAAATCCATAAAGCCCTGGTTAAACAGCCCAGCTCTAGCCTTCATACTTCCCCAGCACTCTCAAGGTCTGGAGGCTCTAACCTCTGCCGCTCTGTTCCCGCAGCTGGAACAGAGGCCCTTTGGAGGCCTGCCCTCCTACGTTGGCCTTGGCCAGGTGAACAGCCCTGGGAGCAGACTGCCGCATCCTAACTACTGCAAACGGCTGCATCCAGGGCAGAGTGAGAACAGGACACAAGCCTAGTGGTTTGGGGAGCTACTGCAGGGCAAGGCCCAGAAGCACTGCTGATAAGCAGCTGGGGAGTTCCAACTGCAGGGCAGCTGCGCGCCAGACAAGACTCCTGCTCTGCCAACAGAGAGGAGGATTCAGGGGAGGTGCAGTAGGAAGGCGAGGCCATGAGGGCGAATTCAGAGGAGCTGGAAATCCCCCAAACTCCCAGGAATACTAGGACTTGAACAGAGAAACAAAGGCTGAAGATTCTACCCTAACTGCAAGGAGACTGCTAAAAGGCAGTGGGCAGGTTGGGGTATAGAGGAGGTGGCTGAAGCATGGGTCACAAGCTGTTAAAAACTATTAATTTGCCCTGGCCAGTTTGGCTCAGCGGTTAGAGCGTCGGCCTGCGGTCCGGAGAGACCCGGGTTCGGTTCCCGCTAAGGGCACGTAATTCGGTTGCAGTTTGTCCCCGGCCCTGGTTGGTCGTGCGGGTGGCAGCCACTCGATGTGTTCCTTCACGTCGATGTTTCTCTCTCTCTCTCTCTCCCTTCCTCTTTCTCCCTCCCACTCTATCTGTACAAAAAATGGAGAAATATCCTCGGGTGAGGATAAAAAAACAACAACAAAAAAACTATTAACTTATACCAGAAACATTTAGATACCATAAAAATACAAACACTGACCCAAGGTGGCCACACTTCCAGGCCATTCATGTTCTGTGAACTGCATTTTTCTTCCAACTGGAAGACACCTGAACCATCTCTCCTCCCGAGTCCACTGGGCTGTGCTCATTCCTTTGAGCTGGGTTTTGCTTGCTTTTGCTCCTCTATCACAGTATTAAAATGACCACAGTATACCCTAGTCTTTGTGAAAATAGCTTTACAGCAAACAACTGGTAGACAGAAAAGTTGACATCATACCCAAATTTGTTAAAAACTGTGCATGATTCCATCTGCTTAAGCAGATGGCTAAGGAAACCACTCTCTTTTAATCCACCAGAGGTAACTTGTCTGTCTGATGCTATGAATGGTCTGTAAATGCAGTGTGATGTCATATGACTTCTGAAAAGGGCCATCCTGCCTTTTCTTCTTGGGGCCAAAATTCCTGTCTGATTTCACTCGGAACCTCCATCTTTTATTTCTTCAAACAGAAATAAAGGTTTTTAGGCAAACACTCAGGATGCCATAGTAGAGGGGTGTAAACAATGTGACTACCCACCTGGTTTAGTTTCCTTTTCCTGCTCGCATTTCTTCAGATTTTCCACTGTTGACTAATCAGTGTGGAAATTCTAAGGAACCAGAAGAAGAAAAAAACAGAGAGCCAGTCATACTCGAGGGTTGTAAACTGAAACAATCTTTTGGGAAGACAAGTGAACAATATCTATGAACATGTTAAATGTGCTCCTCCTTTGGGTCAGTCAAACATCTAGTAATTGATACTACAGATAGGGTCACATGAATAAAAAAACATTCAGTAAAATATATTGTATAAAAGCAAAAAAAGAGGAAACAACTTAAATGTTAATAGGAAAAGAGTTAAATTATGGAGTATCAATACAGCGAGAAACTATGCAGCCATTACAAAGAGAGGGAGATTTTGTTGTACTGACATGGAAAGATGTACATGCTAAATTGTTAAAAAGTATAAACACGATTGTTTACGCTCAGGAAAAAAGCACAGCATTTGTGTATAATTTTAGTATCTACATAGAAAAAGGCAAACAGCAAACTATAAACTGTGGCTCTTTCTGAGACTCAGATACTGGGGGTAGAGGAATGAAAGACTTTCACTTTTTACATTAACAAGGTCTGTTTTGGCTGAAAACTTTTCGAGGCATACACAACTTTCATAACCATCACACATGCTATCTAAAATTCTAAACTCGCAGGAGTAAGTGCAAACAACTTTTCCAGACAGACTGAGCAAGTTTACCATTCAGAGACTTGGACAAACACAGAAAATTGTTTTACTTTGGATAAAATATCCATAATGCCTATTGAAATTTTAAAGGTAAAATAACAAAATATACAAATAGGATGCATATATTCCAAATCAGCTAGCATGCTTCTGGGTAGAAAGGGCTAATTAATTATCCAAAAATGTCAATCCTTCCAAAATTACTATATAATTTTAATTACATTTCAATAAAAATACTAATAATTTTTTTGGAGGGGGGAATGGATAAAATTACTTGTGGAATACTAACTATCCAAAAAAATTAGCCAAAAAATAGGAAAGAAATTATAAAAAATAAATATTTAGGGAATTTGTTTTATGAGAAAATTAAAAGTTACCATAAAAGCCCTGGCCAGTTTGGCTCAGCGGTTAGAGCGTCGGCCTGCGGTCTGGAGAGACCCGGGTTCGGTTCCCGCTAAGGGCACGTACTTCGGTTGCAGTTTGTCCCCGGCCCTGGTTGGTCGTGCGGGTGGCAACCACTCGATGTGTCCCTTCACGTCGATGTTTCTCACTCTCTCTCCCTTCCTCTCTCTCCCTCCCATTCTATCTGTACAAAAAAAAATGGGAAAATATCCTCAGGTGAGGATAAAAAAAAAAAAAAAAAGTTACCATAAAAACATTATAATAGCCCTGGCCAGTTTGGCTCAGCGGTTAGAGTGTTGGCCTGCAGTCCAGAGAGACCCGGGTTCGGTTCCCGCTAAGAGCATGTACCTCAGTTGCAGTTTGTCCCCGGCCCTGATTGGTCGTGCAGGTGGCAGCCACTCCGCGTGTCCTTTCCTGTCGATATTTCTCTCTCTCTCTCTTCCTCTCTCTCCCTCCCACTCTATCTGAACAAAAAATGGAAAAATGTCCTCGGGTGAGGATAAAACAAAACAAAACATTATAATAAAAAGAGAAGGTATTAACACAAATAACAGACAAAAAGGTCTGTAAACCAGAACAGCAAATCTAGAAATAGACAGAATAAAGGACCTTATTTATGACAAGGACAGGATTTCAATGCAAATTAGGAAAGATGACTTATTTAATAAATTATAGTAGCATAACTAGGACAAAACTTGACTACTACCTCTCACTATGTATAAACATAAATTCCAAACGGATTGAAGGTTCAGAATTAAAACCATAAAAGTATTAGAACATTTACGAAAATATTTATATAACTTTGAGGTGAAGAAATTATTCTTAAACACATGAGAAATCCAGACACTATCAAGAGAAAATAAAAAATAGACCGTTTACAATAAAAAAATTAAAAATTTTCTATAAATTTAGTAGAAAAAATTTAATAAACAGATAATAGAGTAGGAAAATATTTGCAACATATATGGAATCTTGATATATATATATATGAATGGTTTCTACAACTTGAGAAAAAGGCAAACAATTCATAAGAAATATGGGTGAAAAAAACTCACAGAAGAAAATAAAATGGCCAATTAACATGAAGCAAGATTCAGTCTCACTAGTAGTAAAAAATATACAAAGTAATCAACTATGAGACACCATCTCCCCAAACCCCATCATCTTGGTCACAAAATAAAACAATAAAGATGGAGGGAGGGAAGAGGGGGAGGAAGGAGGGTAGACGAGAAGGGAAAGAATATATAATATCGGTAAAGATTTAGGGAAATGGAAGTACTACTCATATATTTCTGGGGAGAATATAAATTAAGACCTCTTTGTAAAGTAGGATGGCATTATCTATTAAAATGTTAAATACATATACCTTTTAACCCAGAAGTACTATTTTTGAAAATGTTACCTGTAAAAATAAAAGCACCAGCAGAGGATTTGGATGTAAAGACATTTAATGCAACAATATTTCTAGTAGGAAAAAAACACAATGGATAACAACTTGAATATGTGTCAAAGATGAAATGGCTGAATATATTGTGGTACCTCTAGATCTACAGCTCTGAAATAAATTAAAAGAATGAATTAGAGTTATACCCGCCTGTAATGTATCATCTACTGGGGAAAATAAATCGCAAAATAATAAAGTATGATCCCACTTTGACAAACATACATACACACACACACACACCCCTGCCCACCCATACCATATCCATTTATATAGGAGCCTGGAGAAGGCATGGATGGATATATACATAATTGATAACACTGGTTATCTCAAACAGTAGAAAAGGGAACTAGAAGGAAGAGAGAGATTATAACTTTTTCTTTACATATCTTCCAATTGCTTGATTAGTTTTACAATGAGCACATGTATTACTTTTAGGGAAAAATAATGAAGAAACTAAAACAAACAACAAAAAAAATATGAGATCAGAGAAAGAACACTAGTAAACTATGTTACACACTACCCATTTATCTTTTTTTTTTTTTGGTTAATCCTCCCCCAAGGATATTTTTTCATTGATTTTTAGATAAGGGGGGGGGGGGGGAGAGACACACACATCAATTGGTTGTCTCCCGAACCACCTGGCGAATCAAACTTGTGACCCTTTGGTCTGCAGGCTGATGTTCTAACCATCGAATCAAACTGGCCAGGGCAACTACCTATATATCTTTACATGGGATAAGATTAATTGCACTTACTGTCACTTTCTTTTTTGGTCAAAAGAGAACAATTTTTTTAAAAACTCCAAGGCCCAGAAGGTGTGGCTCAGTGTTTGAATATTAACCCTTGCACCAAGAGGTCACTGGTTCGATTCCCAGTCAGGGCACATGCCCGGGTTGCGGGTTCGATCTAATCAATGTTGACATTTATTTCTAATCAATGTTTCTCTCTCTCCTCCCCCTGGCCCTTTCTGTCTCTCTAAAATCAATAAAAACATTTTAAAAAACAATTCTATGGAAGGGGGGGAAGTGCACTTTATTTCCTAAGCGTTTATGTCTCTTACTTTATTATTTTTATTTATTTATTTGTTTTTTTATCCTCACCCGAGGATATTTTTCCATTTTTTTTTTTGTTCAGATAAAGCGGGAGGGAGGGAGAGAAAGAGAGAGAGAGAAACATCGACGTGAAAGGGACACATCGAGTGGCTGCCACCCGCACAACCCAACTAGGACTGGGGACAAACTGCAACTGAGGTACGTGCCCTTAGTGGGAACCAAACCTGGGTCTCTCTGGACCACAGGCTGATACGCTAACCACTGAGCAAACCGGCTAGGGCGTATGCCTCTTACTTTAAAAGGAAAAATTATTTTTAAGAAAAAGAAAGAATGTACAACCAATCAACACAGACACTAGGCTGAGGAAAGCAGGAAGGGAGTGAGAATGGGAAGGAGGGGTTAATGGGGAAAAAAAGGGGACATCTGTAATACTTTCAACAATAAAAAATTAATTTAAAAAATGAAGACCATCTAAATTAAAAAAGAAAAAGAAAGAATAATTTCTCCCTTTAAAATCCAAAGGAGTCTGGCTGGTGTGGTTCAGTGGACTGAGCATCGACCCATGGACTGAGAGGTCCCAGTTTGGTTCCTGGTCAGGGCACATGCCCCAATTGCGGGCTCAATCCCCAGTAGGGGGCGTGCAAGAGGCAGACAATAGATGTAGCTCCCTCACAGAGATGTTTCTTTCTCCCCCTTCCTATCTCTCTAAAAAAAAATCAATAAGCTCTGGCCGGTTTGGCTCAGCGGTTAGAGTGTTGACCTGCGGTCCTGAGAGACCCGGGTTCGGTTCCCGCTAAGGGCGCGTACCTCGGTTGCAGTTTGTCCCCGGGTGGCAGCCACTCCATGTGTTCCTTTCACATCGATGTTTCTCTCTCTCTCTGTTCCTCTCCCTCCCTCCCACTCTACCTGAACAAAAAAATGGGAAAATGTCCTCGGGTGAGGATTAAAAAAAAAAAAAAAATCAATAAAATCTTATTTTTAAAAAATCCCAAAGAAAGCCCTGGCCAGGAAGCTCAGTTGGTTAAAGTACTGTCCCGATACACTAAGGTTTGGGGTTCAATCCCCAGTCAGGGAACATACAAGAATCAACCAATGAATGCATAAATAAGTGGAGCAACAACAAAAATCAATGTTTCTCTCTCTCTATCCCCCTTACTCTCTCTAAAATCAATAAATAATTTTTTTAAAAAAATTAAAAAACAATCTGTGCTTGTATAAAACCCATTTTGTAAAAAATCCAAAAGCAAGCCTAAAGCTTTGGCTGGAAGCTGCCCTGTGTAGGTGGTGTGTGGGCTGGTTCTGTGCTGGTGACTGTTTCCAGCAGCTCAGTGCCCTTAACTGCCTTTCCTCCCCAAACCCAATCAAATACACTCTGGGAGTGAGTGTACTGTGCTGGGAACCAAAGCCCTGAAAACCCAGCATCTCTGCTCACAAGGCTCTCTTGGTCTCCAAGAAGATGCTCTGGCTCCTATA